CCCCCCCCCCCCCCCCAAAACAAAGTGAGCCGGCCTGAATGCGATCCAGTGCGTTCCGGCACCAATCGGGCCAGAGCGCATTGGTGCTGGTGTGAGCTAGCCCTTAGGGCAGGGGTTGCCAGACTTTAGCCCTCCAGCTGTAGAGAAACTACAAATCCAAAAAAAGGCATTGCAAGACTCTGACACCCGCAGGCATGACTTCCAGAGGTGAATTAATGATGGGATTTGTAGTTTCCCCATAGCCGGAGGGCTGAAGTTTGGCTACCCTTGCTTTAGGGTTTTGGCACCCTTTCTTGGGTGTTTCCTACACAACTATCAGCAAGTTAGACCTACTTGGCTCAATGAACAGCAAGTGGATGGGCTCTATGGCATGCTATGAAATATTATCTGATCCATAACAAACACATTTCCATTTATGTAACCCCCGGAAAACGCAGGAGGCCCGAAAAACTGCAAGGCAGAAGATGTGCTTTCTGAAGCGCCCAGCGGTTCTATATATTCTGTGGCATGTCAGACACTAAATCAAACGTTGCTGGGCACGAGAAATTACACCTGCAGAGATGGGAAATGGTTGCTAGCAGTGGACGGCTGCTACTCTGTGAAAATTTTCCAGCAGCTGGAGAACGTCAAGGTAACGACTGATTGGTGACACATTGTAGTTCCACAAAACAATATGGTGAGCTCCTCGTGGTGCGATCTGGCTCATTGCACTCCGGCATACTGTAGCAGTCAGCAGTTACAAAATGAATCATTGCATTCTGGGCTTTGACAAACGTTTTTTCATTAAAGGGCATCTACGGTCAAAACCTAAAAATAATTCTGTATCTCTACATTGAATGTCCATATGTTCTGTCCCGCTCCTAATAACCAGATCAATCTAGAAGTGCGTAAACTTACTTATTGAAGATGCCCGTAGGATGGACTTCCCCAATGCACTGACACCATTTCACTCTGCCCTGTGAATATGCACTTCCTGGTGTCACCTCTCTCACAGAGCCTGGCTTCTGAACTATAACTCAACATCTGAACACTGTAACATTATCATGTTATCATGAGGATGAGAGACACAAGGTAAGTCTATGGAGCAGCGTGCACCCGCTGGGACGTCAGAGGGGAGGACAGAGGAGTCAGCGCTGGATCGGAGACCCGCACCAATCCCAGGTTGCTAAGAGCTTGTGGCAACTCTGGCTTCCCGTTCAGCTCACTGATGTCATTGGTTGCCAGGAGCTGAGCGGGATGCTCTGGCTCACATCCCACCGAGCTCCTGGCAACCAGTGACGTCAGTGAGCTGGGCGGGACACTGAGCATAACTGTTGACAGCATGGTCCGATGTCCACCCCCCCTCCCAAACAACAAATCAGCGGAACAACCACGTACAATCTCCCCATCACCACCCCGACAACAGCTCATTTCTTCAAGTGAAGAGTACCCTAAGGATGGCAGCCCCTTGAAACAAATGCAAACACGGTAAAAAGTGGTGCATGAACACATTCACAGCAAGTTTGAACGGGGCCTTACGATACCGCAATGCGCCCCCCCCCATCAATGGAGAATGGCAACCAGATGGCAGGACGGCAGGGTTAGTTTTTTTTTTTTTTATTGTTTCTTTATTTTTTTAAAACTTTTTTATCACTTTTTTTTTTTATCTTATTGTTTACTTTTAATTTTTTTTATAATTATTTTCTTATCTTTTAATAATTTGTTTCTTATTATTTTTTACTTTTTAATCACCTTTTTATTTAATTATTTCTTATTTTATTTTTTTATCAATTTTTTTTCCCCCACTTAACTTTATTGCTATCACACAGGAGCTAACAAGTGCCTGAAGGACTTGCAGGCTGAAAACTTATTACAAGTCAGGCTGGCGACATCGCCGAGATCACTTGTAAACATGCAATCGGATCCCCCACTGTAGATTTAGCCCTGTTTGTGCAAAGCAGGACTAAATGTAGAAAGCGCAACTTAACGCCCGGCAGGCCGGAACTGCATGTTCCGGGCGTCGAGGGATTTCACACTGCTGCCGCCCCTCTCCGCCCTGCCTCCCCGAAGCCGGGCCTCGGTGGCCTTGTGGGGAATCCGGGCCTGGGCACAGATTAATACATATTTTATATTATTAAATATGTTTAAAATCTTCACTATGCCAGTGCGTCCTGGATTTCTTCCTTAGTTCTATGTGTGGATTGGTCCAGTCGTGATCAGGAACCGCAAGGCAAGTGTGCAAGGTGGACGTTTGGACACTTTAATGTAACGGTTAGGTTTGGAACATGGTATCCTTTGTATCAAAGCGCTGCTATTTAATGTGTTTGTCTTCTACGACTCTCTAACTATAAATGTATCACACACACAAAATGTTATGCCCGGAGCAACAACAAAAAATAAAAAATAAGCGGAGGGCAAGCATGACAAGGTGAATAGGGGAGGCAAAAAACTCAAGGAGTTAATGGGGTTCGGTTTCAGGACTTAGTTTACTTACCCGATTGGCCAGGTCAAAAGGTTAGGTGGAGCTTTAGTGGTGGTCTGAGTGGGTGGGGTTCCATCTTTATTAGTTGGTGACTGTCGGACGAGGAGCGAACTTACCGCCCACCCGACCCTTTTGGTTTTTCAGAGGTTGCACTATGGAAATTTTCTGTTACGTGGCGGTTGGGTTCTTTGGAGGCCGTAAAATTAGGTGCTGGTAGTTAATGTTTGAGGACCTGTCTTGGTATGTTGTCCTCTATTCATTGGAAGTGGCTGCGGTCAGTTGGTGGTTGTCCCCGAGGCGGTGTGTTGCGGCTGGGGGCCTAACATGTTTTTGGTACTGCCGTAGAGAACGGATTCAGAAAAAGAGGTGTGGCCTTCAAAGACCTGCAAGCTATTTTATGATTCTTGCTGATGTTGAACTTTTGATTACATAGAGTTATTTTCAGATTTAATTATTTAATAAAAGACCGCTAAGGCCAATTTAAAGCCATATTGGAGTGCAGTTTTGTTATTACTTTACAGGGACTGGGTGGTGGGCCTAGCGGTCTATATTAGAAAATGATTGAGGACGTCTATTCTGCCTGAGTCATGAATAGTTAATTCAGCTATGATTAGGGTCCTGCGTTTGGGCTGAAACGTATGTTTGAAAGCATGGGTATGAAAGCATGTATGAACGTATGAAAGCATGTGTATGTTTGCAGTTTGTATGCGGAGATGTAATAAAGTGAGCTTTTAGAAGGATCCCTGCTGGTGTGTCGGTGATTACACATTGCTGGTCCATAAGTATTATACCGTTATGAGAGCTGAAGAGCGAGCATAACCCTACAAACCCTCAGGGCCGGATTCCTAACATGGCCACCAAGGCCTGGCCTCGGGGCGGCACGGAGAAGAGGGGCGGCACAGGTTTGAAGTCACCCGACGCCCGGAAGATGGAGTTCCGGGCGCCGGGCGGTAATTTGTTTTCTACATTTAGCCCTGCTTTGCACAAGCCGGGCTAAATGTAGAACGGGGAAAGCCACTTGTTTCTTTACAAGTGATCTTGGCGATGTCGCCAAGATCACTTGTAATTAAATTGCAGCCGCTCTGTGTATACAGTGAGAGGGGAGAGCTGTGCATTGCGGAACCTGGCCTTGGGGCAGCAGGGAGAGTAAATCCGGTCCTGCAAACCCTTATCAATCAAAAACCTAATAAGGGCCCATTCACACTTATGGCTCATGCACATCATCCATACTGCGTGCATGCCGGTGCAGAGAGCTGTTCTTTCTGGGAGGAACAGGGGCTGCATTTAATTGCATACAGTCCCCTGTACCTCCCTATGGAAGGATGTGACTGCATGAGAACCCGAACCTGCACACTGTCTGCGTCCAATTGTGGGCACCTGGAGCTGCATTGATGGCAGGTTCTGGTTGGCATGTAGACGTGTGCAGCCATACACGACATGAGGCTGCATGCAACTACATGCAACACCTGTTTGCTCCCAGGAACAGGTCTCTGCACAAGTGTGCACGCCATTTGGATGTGCACATTTCTGTGAATGAGTCCTTAAAGTGACATTAAACCCTCAGATTTTTTTACATAAACCAATACTGTAATGTGTGCCTTACTGTAATCCATGGTAGTTTCCCTTCTCTTTGCTGCTCTTCCTTTTAAATCCTTCTCTATTCTCATGCTGGGGAGAACTTCCCTTTGCAGCTGAGTGCCTCTTCAGGTTGTGAACCAACACACAGACACCATGTATCCATTTCAGAGACAAGGCAGTCTGCTGCAAAACAGAAGTTCTGCCCAGCATGAGAAGGATTTAAAAGGAAGAGCAGCAAAGAGAAAGGAAACAACCATGGATTGCAGTAAGGCGCACATTACAGTTTTGTTTTATGTTAAAAAATCTGAGGGTTTAATGTCACTTTAAGCATTCTGCTGTATTAATGCACACGCAATAATGCACGTTATAGCACATGCTAATGTACAATGCATTAAGGCAGCCCAGTCATTACGAATGGGCTGCCAACGGACCACAACGTGGTACTCTTGGGTGCAATGTGCGTCGGACTCTACAGTACAGCACAATGCACCACACATAAGCAGGTGCCACGCATTGTCTTGGCACAACAGTTGCACTTTAGCACACGCTGCCACAATGCATAAGTGTGAATGACACTTCTCCACTAGCAAAAAAAACAAAAAAAAACAGTTCAGTCTGGAGCTTAGCCACTTTAACTTGGAATATTTAGAGGTGTACAGTATGTGGAGAAAAGAAATGTATAAAATGACTAATTCCGCACCTTTTCCTTTCTTCTGCCCCTCATAGGACATATTGAAAGGTCCGGAGGTGCAACAGAACTTGCCGTCATTACTGAAAAATCTCACTGTTACAGCCACCGAAGAGAAACAAAACATTCAGAACTCCACCAAAAGTTTACAGATGATGGTTGAGATCCTATCCACAGTCTCAAACGTGAGCGTAGCAGTGGAGCAAGCCGTGATGCAGGTGAGACTGTCTATCCCAGCCAGGCATAAATGGAAGTGTTCACCAGAATAAACAGTGTTTTCGTTTTTTGGAAGGGCTACACACTGTAGGTACTATAAGGTACTGTACACTAACATTGCCTTACGCAAGCAATTTTTTAACATGCTGCACTACAACAGGGCAGGTCTGCGGGTCTGGTAACACCTACATTACTTGCTCATTGGCATGCCATTCTAAGAGGCTCATGCGGCTATCTACTCTCCTCAATAAACTGCTAAGTTAGTCCACACTGCGGCCTGCATGGTTTCTTGCATCGGGGGCCCTAAGGCTTCTAGTTACTCCTCTGTGCAGGATCGTATTGAATGGCGACAATTATTGCAAAGAACATCCGGGGCACTTGGCAGGAGACCTGGAGCACATGCTCTACATGCCAGGGTCTAGCTATGCCCTTAGTGAAGTCTTAAACTGTAGCTGAAATCAGCCATGCTAATGCACACTGGCTGTTGGGAGGTGTCACCGCAGGAATGAATATACAGTACATTTATAGAAAACTCTGTAGCGCCCCTCTGACCCCCAGAGGCCTGAGGTGGACCCCCAAAGGGTAGGGAGGGCCGACATTTCACTCTCAGGGGCAGATCCTTAGATAGTAAAGGGACCTGTGATCGACAAATTGGGTTCCAGTCACTTTAAATGCCTTTTTTAATGCTTTATTGGGAACCGCATAACTGGGAGAGAGGGTATTGGGCTTCAGACATACTGTACATAGCAAAAATAGAACACAGGCGCACCAACCCCTTCAGAATTCCTCAGTGCAGTGCAGAAAACCGGCTGACACTGGGCAATAGAGCAACAGCTGAATAGGGATGTGCATGAGATCTTCCCTAGGCGAGGCACCAGACTTGTTTCTGAGGTCCATATTAGCTCCTGGAACCTCCTACAGTCATGAGGCTTCTCTGGTTCTCCTCCCCAGACATTTCCAGACCCCTCCTGGGTCCACATGTGGCCTCTTCCAGGCTTGAGACCTAGTCAGCTTCTCCAACACTATACATGCCTGGGGGCAGACTGCCCTTGAGCACATGACAATCCCCTGAGTTTATATGCACTCTCGCAGCATGCACCACTGGCCATGAAACTCCTAGTGATTGGCTGGTGAGGCATAGACCCTCCTAGTGTTCTCCTAATGGATAGCCCACTCTCTGTAGGGTCACACTCCACTAAAGTAGGTGCAATCAATAGCAAAACACCTGGAATTAACTATATAATGTCTAACTACAAATCAGCTAGACTGATTAGAGTACTAGCAATGCTAAATTTCTAGTAGCCACTCCACTGAGGGTGGTAGGGGTTACACCTCCATCTACATTCCACCTCTTATATCAGATAAATATGTGATATAAGCCACCACACAGCCCTCAGTTCTATCTTGGAAATGAATGAGCGTAAGGCATGATATAGATAGTTTTAGCAATGTTATCATATGTATGTGGCCTAAAGATTCTGTGTGTAGAATAATTTGAGGCTTTTATACTTATCTAGTCTTGGCAACATATTTCTTCTCCTAGAACTTTATCAAAACAGTTGATGTTGTGGTGGGAACATCCAGCGCTTGGGACAGGGCGGGTAACGAAAGTGTAACCATTCTGAATTCCGTCGAGAATTTTGCGAAAAATCTGGACTTCAATGGCACAATCGACTTTAAAAACGAATCCATCAGCAATATTCAGCTTTATGGGCAAATTCTGAGCAAAGATGACCACTACAGTAAGATATTTGATGTGCAAAATTTAACTGGAAATGTGTTTATCGATAGGGGGTCATTTCCAGACAACTCCACCACAGTGATTACCATCGCTTACGGTACGATGAAGGACATTTTGCCAAAAACCACAAACAACGCAAACAAGACTGTCAACGGGCTGGTTATGTCAACGATCATTCGTGGGAATTCTAGTATGAAAGATAACAGCAATGTATTTAAAATAAATATGTCCTTTACTGAGAGTAATACGTCACTAGCGAAGCCAGAGTGTGTGTGGCTTAACCTGATGCAGAACGTTTGGAACAGCAGCGGTTGTGAAGTCTTAGGTGAAAATGGTACGATAATATGCTCCTGTAACCACCTGACTTCTTTTTCAATACTTATGGGAGATCCAGATATTGCAAATCCAAATCCAAATCCAGATCTAAAAAAATATTCAGAAATTATTACTTATATTGGAGTTGGAATATCTCTTGCTTGCTTGGTGACCACACTACTCATCGAGGCCTTAGTGTGGGCCTCAGTTATCAAAAACAAAACCTCCTACGTACGTCACGTCTGCCTGGTTAATATTGCTGTTACACTGCTGGTGGCCGATATCTGGTTTATCATTGGTGCATCACTTGAGAAGGCTCAAGGATCAGCTGCCTGCAAAGCCGCGGCCTTCTTTATCTTCTTCTTCTACTTGTCTTTGTTTTTCTGGATGCTGACCACGGGACTTATTCTTTTTTATCGTCTGATCTACATCTTGCATGACATGAGTAGGAAGACCATGATGATCATAGCTTTCCTCCTGGGTTACGGATGTCCGCTCCTTATAACTGTTGTCACCGTGGCTTCGACGGAACCCAGTAAGAGATTTACAAGCGAAAAGTTCTGCTGGCTTGACTACAAAAATTCCAGATCATTCCTTGCCTTCGTGGTGCCAGCTTTAACCATTGTGTTTGTCAACATGCTGATCCTGGTGGTGGTCATATTCAAATTAATGAGACCTACCATTGGTGAAAAATCAGGAAAAGAAGACAGAAAGACTTTGGTTGTGATTGCTAAAACCATTGCCATCCTCACTCCTCTTCTCGGAAGCACCTGGGGTCTTGGACTCTGGGTTGCGATTGATCCTTCTAATGACGTACTCAATATAATATTTTCCACACTCAACTCTTTTCAGGTAAGTGTCATATAGTATATGGTAATGTATAATATAATACGTATATTAAACACTGCTAACTGAAAATAACTGTTGTTATAATAATATTATTATATCATGGGGGGAATTTATCAAAACTGGAGCAGATAAAATCTGGGGCAGATGTGCATGGCAACCAATCAGCTTCTCTTTTTAGTTTGTTCAATTAAGATTTGAAAATGAAAAGGAGAAGCTGATTGGTTGCCATGCACAGATGCTCCAGATTTTGTTAAAGGTGTAAGCAAAATAAAAAACTATTGTGGGTCTCATTTATTAAAGCAAATGAACAAGAAAAGGGATAGGTTTTAGTACAAGATTAGAAAAAAATATATATATTTTTTCAGTTTACATAAAAACTATCATAAAACTCCATTGTGCCTCCATGGTGCTCAGTTGGCAATGTATGCCTGTTTTTTTTAAAATAGGAAACCCCTGCACTATTCACATGCTTTTTGGCAGGATGCCGGAAATAACTAGCAAGCAGTTCTGCGAACGTCTGAGTTTTAGATTCAAAGCACACTGCCATATACCTGAAGGGGGACTTAGCTGAGCAGAGGAAGGCTACACTTGCCGACCATGTCCAACTCTCCTGGAAGTAGTAACAGGCAGAGTGAGGCCGCAGGACCGCACGAGTGCCCAGAACGTGGGTCAATGAAGTTCATGCAGATGCTCGGGTGTGAAGACCGAATAAGGCAACTACAGGATCAAAGTGGTGCATTGAATGTAGCTGACAGATGACAGATGTGTAGTCAGGAACATAAGCCTGAGTTGATATCGTGCAGACGACCCAGTACCAAATCTCAAGTCAGCTCAGTTTCGAAGTCAAGGTCGAAAACAAATAAGTAGAAGTAAAGCACCAGATAAGTAGACAGAGGTAGGGTTGGGTCACAAGCCAGGGTCATTAACTTTTGGGAATCAAGTCTCAGGTCGGGTTGAAGGCAAACAGGATTAAGCTGAAGACCAGTCAGCTATTAGCCCATAGTTCATTCTGGTTTAAATAGGCCAATTGGTACCAATGAGTGCGCCACTACATGTGTACGCCAGTGGGTGTGTGCTCGCCTGCACAGCTGTGTGCACACACGCCGATGCTAACTTTGATGCGCACGGGTACTGGTGCACATTTTTCTGTGCGCACAAACCACGCATAACAGAATGCGCACAACAGTTTTCTGTCCATTACTGGAGCATCCATATTAGATGGAGTGGAGGAGCATAGGAAACTCACCCCATTGTGCATGTCGCTATCTAAATGACTCAGAAAACCTTCGTCTGTGCATCCTTCTGAAACTGATTTCACTTGTGTTACTAAGAGCTTGCTTACCAGATCTTGCAACTAAGCCCTGTTCGACTGCTTGTAAGGGTACTTTCATTAGAAAGGAGGAAGAAGGCTGTAATGCTCGCCTCGGGAGAGGGCCGAATACCCTCTATGGATCTCAACTGCGGAATGGAGAGGGTTTAAGGAACGGGAATCAGAATAGCAGCTCCTCCCTAGAATGCCCAGTTTTGTATGTGCTTAGGCGTTTGGGAGGCTGCGGTACATCACGCCCCGTATACACAGTAGGGAGTGGGGAACACAGGCCCACGAATGGTTATTGCCTGGCAGTAATGCACGACCGGTTGTTGTTTACAGCTACTGATGGGAGAAATGCAATAGCACAGGTTGTTAAGGTACAGTGAACAGCTGAGAGCAATGCAATAGTACAGGTTGTTAAGGTACAGTGAACAGCTGAGAGCAATGCAATTGTACAGGTTGTTTTAAGGTACAGTGAACGGCTGAGAGCAATGGAAACAGTTCAGGCAGTTTAAGGTGCAGTGACAGCTGTGAGCAATGCAGATAGGGCTATATCGTTATGCATAGGAGACCTGGGCTTCAGTTTGCCTGGCCCAGATTACTTGCGGTTCTGCTGGTGGTGGCAGTCTTCAGTGGGTGAGTCGAGTCTGGTGGTGTGGAGGCGAGGGAACGCTGGATTGATCAGCGTCCTTCCACGATCAACGGAAAGACGCCGATCAATTACCGTGACTCGGCTTTATGCCGAGCGCTGCGTCTTGGAGGGGCGGAGCTTCCCGGCGCGCCTGCGCCCGACCTAGACGGCCCTGAGGTGTGGGATGAAGGAGGACCGCGGCGCGCCTGCGCGAGGCGACGACGGAGACGTTCCCCAGACGTCACCGCGTTCCCACGGAGAGCTGGGGCTATCGATCCCCGCCGCGCCTGCGCATGACCGCGACGGCCACCCGCACCTGGTCCCTGCAGTGCTCGCCTATTACAAAGGCTGGGTAGGCTTTGGGAAAGTCAAGCCTTCTGTAAAAAAAGTTAATACAATTTTAAGAGGTGCACAGATAAGGGTTTTCTCTCTTTCATGAGTAACAACAGGCACCTACTCTTAAATCGGAATTTTACATTTAAAAAAAATAGCTTGCAGGTTATTTTTAAGCTTCCTCTGTAAACCCAAAGTTATCGAAGTGGTGCCAGGGGATGATTGGGTTCATGGATGATCCTGGCATGTAATGAGCACCAGGACTTCTGAGAAAGGGCACAAAAAGATATGATGGACCAATCTACCATGGCGCCTAGTAAGATTATGAATTGTTTTGCTCAGTAGAGCGTCCCAGGGATCCCTCACCAGGTTGCAATGTAAAAGGGAGCGGATCAGATTGCATACATGGATCCATAGTTTTTGAGCTGTAGGACAGGTCCACCAAATGTGGAACAAGGTACCGTGAACGTTCGGCTGTTTTTTTAAAGGGGATTACCCCTATGTGCAATGAGGCTGCTAATGGGGGAATCGTGTGTGTTGTTGGAACCTTTCTATTATGTTGTGTGTGGCAGCTGATAGGAGAATCTTTTTAAATGTCATGGGTGAATCCTGTTTGATGTGGGAAAGGGCAAATCTACTTTACAAATTATGGGTGAATTCTAAAATGTAGACAGGTGAATGTTCGCTATCATTCACTCTGTAAATCATACAGTGAATCCTTTATAAATAGATCCTATTTCACTCATTTGGCTTCATATGTAGGGTAAATGTCCAGAATTTTAAGAATTTTTGTCAAATTTTAGATGAAAGTCAGGTGGCTTGGCTATAGAATCTTTGAAAAAAAGACCTATAGGGGTGTATGTATAAAACGTTTGCAAAACTGTTAGTTCTATGATTCCACATTATGGGCACTAGCTGTAGCTGAGGAGCATAGTGTTAAGTAGAGAGCGACACCTAGCTCATCGAGCTGTAGAAGGAGTGACAAATGTAAGTAGGTGAGTATTTCACCCTGTGACAGGCCTCTGTCACACTAGGGGGCCTTAGGGTGCACATGTGCTTTAACTAAGCCACCCTCCCTTGTCCTAGCTGAATACTTACCAGCTTTTTGCAGCCATATTTACATCCTACCACCATGGATCTTCTTCCTGCTGTCCATGTCTGCACAGTAGCTTCCCATACACTTCTATGGGGCTTTCTCCTGAGATAGCACATGCTCAGGGGATGGTTCCATAAAGTATATGAGGAGCTTCTGCTCAGGCATGGACAACAGAAAGAAAAACTAGCAAGGTAGAACCTAAGTATTGCTACAAGAACCCAACAAGTATGCAGCTGGAGCAGTTGGGAGGATGGGTTAGTTAAAGAACATGTAAACTTAAAGGCCCCTGGGGAAAGAAGGGGCAAATGAGGTAAGTATACTTTTAAGTACACAAAATCTTGCTGTAGCTCACGATATACTGAGCTTTGGGTGACGGGAGAACGCTAGTTTGTGTCCTCCCGTTACCCTTAAGAGAACTATGGGGAAAAGCACTGACCCCATAGTTCTCCTTTAACCTAATCCAAAGCAACAAAAGCCCCTTAGACTCTATTTTGAGAATGGCAGCACAAAGCCATTTTGTTGTCCAGCCAAGCTGGCTGCAATGTGTGTTATATACAGTAATTTTATATATGAATATAATAATGCAAAACACTAAAATATGCTGTTTTTTTATCTAGGGTTTGTTCATTTTGATATCAACTGTGCTGCTGGACCAAAAGGTAAGTAGCAATTAATTATAATCAGGAGCGTGCTATGGCCTCCCAACAACATCAAGTGTAATTCCCATACTGCCAGTGGGCACGGTTGCCTCGTACCATGCCTGAGCATGATTGCCCCCTCCACAATCCCCCAGTAGGTTGCATTCAAATTGTGTCGGGCCTGAGCATACTTCTCGTGCTTACATTTTGCTGTGCCCAAGCATGCTTATGTCATTTGTACCCTTACCACCTTAGTGGTGGTAATCCGCTCCAGTATTCAATTTCCATGCTTGGACATGGTTAGCAGTCACACACATATGTGTACTGTGTTGGAATCCAACTGAACTGTGCCCCAGACCACCTATTTCAAGTAGGTCAAGACATAGTACACTCAACTGTGGCCAAGAATGGTACGGAGTGATCAAACTAGTCAAAAAACTTGGACTTTGACCATCAAACATGGTCAGTCATGGTACATACACCCTAGTGTAAGTACGCCCTTAGAAGTAATTTAATTACCACCTGATCTGGCTAATTGAAGCCGCCCAGCACAGATACCCCCTGGTTAACCCATCTTGGGAGGAAAGCAATCATTCACACATAGTTTGGTTGAAGAAAGACTTACACCTATCAAGTTTACCTTCACAGCTCTAATAAAGCAAAACAGAATCCTGAATGTTACCATACAGTGGGGAAGATACCTTCCTGACCCCAAAGCGGCAGCCAGATCAGTTTTCTTGCTCAGAACAATCCCATGTTATTCCAATTATAACCCTAGACATTATCAGTTGTAAGAAGATCATCTAGTTCTTATTCATTTTGCCATAAGTTTTCTTTGTTCACCTGCAAAGTCCCACAAATACCTGCCAGTGAAGTCCACCTAATTCAACTTCCTGTAATGGAGTGGCAACAATGCTGCACTGCTCCTGAATTCAGTGTAGAATAGGCTGTACTTGCTTGCACTTCAGTGGAATGAGAAAATGTTCAACGGGCTTTCAGCATTGTTACTGCCTGTAGCTTGTCAATTAGTACTGGCCTAGTCCTGCCCACTGCTTTCTGGATTGACAGCACCGCATCTTTTGCTACAACCCTCCCACTGTGCGCTGCACTGTTTGGGAGGGGTGGCATGTGAGACACAACTGGAAGTAGACGGTGCCGTCAAACACAGGAATCCGTCCTTATCTCCTTATATATATAGTAACAAAAAATGTCCAGGTGTTGCAGCGCTCAATCTTCTTTCCCTGCCCTTTTGTATCATGTCATGATTTTGATGAACAAATAAAGAAGATTGAGCGCTGCAACACCTGGACATTTTTTGTTACTATATATATAAGGAGATAAGGACGGATTCCTGTGTTTGACGGCACTGTTTGAGAGGTAGCTGGAGTGCAGAGCACCTCAATGATATATATATATTTTTTTTTTTTATTGTAATCCTTGCCATGGACACAGGGATCCTGTAAAACACAGTAGCAGTCGCAACTACTAATGTGTATTACAGCATCTTCCAGGTCCCTGTGGCAGCCGTTGTGCTGAGCGACTTCCCTATGCTATTAAAACACAGAGAGTTGCGCTGAGTATTGCGGCTGCTTTCTCAATGAATACTAGACGTTCTGATTGGATGAAGGGTCCAGTCAGAGAAACACTTCTTTCTCCCTTCATCTCCCTTTACATAGGGAATGATGGGATTCATAGTGTACAAGAATGATAATGGTTATTGTGCCTTCTGTCCAGCCCACTGGAAGTGACAAGGACAGGGCATTTATGGCAAGATCAACAGCTACTTACTGTACTTGCTGAAAATGTTCTTAGCCTGGAAAAAGTAAACAAATGCATCCACCTCCTCTGGGGACAAGTAACCTGAAATATATTACATATCTGTTTTGGGGTTTAGATACACTTTAGGCCAGCAGCAGTAATGTCCAGCAATATGTGCATCATTGTTGCAGATTTGTATCAAATTCTAGGTTCCACCATCACTGAACAGATCATTTAGGAGTCAGGTTAGATCTTTACTGATCCAGATATATGAATATTTTCTTCTACCTTTGTTCTTAGGTGCGGGCAGCAGTAAGAAGCAGCATCTCTTCCTCCTACTGGAGAACAATCAGGTCCAGGGGGCAGGTCAGTGTACCACATAATACACATTGGGATTGAACATTAACATGATCCTCTGAGACATTATAAAGCCCAAATGAACTTTCAGTTTAAATTGGCTAAATACATTTTTGTTGCATCAAAACAAAAGGTGTTCAATGTCTTACACTTTCTTTTCTTTAACAATTAGCTGCAGCCTGTGTAGAAAAGTCTGTCTCCTGCCAGGATGCTCCTAAGGGGTCCCTGTTTTGAAGCAGTGGTCTCTTTGCAGAGGTCAGACATGTCCTCGGCTGAGTCAGAGCAAGAGCTTTTCAATCAGCAAAGAGCATGAGCTTTGATGAGTGCAGAGCAATAGGTCTGGGTAGGTAGAAGGCGTTGTGGACCTCTGCAGAGAGACCACTGTCTTCCCACAAAAGGGCAAGGATCCTAATCTGCAGCTGCTGGCAGAAGGCAGGTTTTTCTACTCAGTTTGTGGCTGCTATAGGAAGAAAACAAGCAGGCCTATTCACAAAAGGGTGAAGAGTTTGGAGACGGCAGGAGAAGTGAACAATCTAGGCCAAATTAGCTGATTTGGAAAAATTCCCAATTCAGCTCAATTTCCAGTTCAGCTATGTCGTCCTAGATTGTTCACTTCTCCTGCCTTCTCCAAACTCTTCACCCTTTTGTGAATAACCCTGTAAGACATTAAGGCCCCATTCACACTGAGCGATTTATGGAGCGATTTTTGCAGCAATATCGCTCATATTTCCGTGCGGTATGTAGCTTCACCAATACATTTCAATGGAGCTGTTCACATCTCGTCGCTCAATATCGCTCAATATCGCTTGTAGCTCGTCGCTGGTAGCTTGTCGCTCCTACATGACCCTTTTTTAGAGCGATTTTGAGCAATATTGCTCCTGATTGCATACAGCCCAATAGGAAGATGTCACGCGACACGTCGCTCGATGTCGCTCAAAGTCGCGCAATTTCCATGTCGCTCAGTGTGAATGGGGTCTTAACATC